AATTGCTCTCCTGCCAGGTGGTGAGTTTCCTTACAAAGTCATGAATACGTTTCATTATTAAAATGTTTGAGTATTTTTCTAAATGTGGTGTTCCCCTTTCAAAAAACAACGGCCTGTGAATTTAATTTGTTTCATGATTACTCAGTTGTAGCATCTTAGATTTTGTGACTATTTGAACTCCTGTGAATTAGTTGTGCATATGTTTTGCCCATTTTTCTTTTTTTTTTTTTCTTTTCAACTTTTATTTTAGGTTAAAGGGGTATACGTGCAGATTTGTTACGTGGGTAAATGATGTGTTACAAGGACTCAGAGTACAGATAATTTTGTTACCCAGATAATCAACATACTATTTGATAGGTACTTTTTCATTCCCCACCCTCCTGCCACCCGCCACTTTAAAATAGACCCCAGTGTTTACTGTCCCCTTCTTTGTGTCCATGTGTACTCATTGTTTAGCTCCCACTTATAAGTGAGAACTGTGGTATTTGGTTTTCTCCTCCTGCATTAATTTGCTTGGGATTATGGCCTCCAGCTGCATCAATGTCACTGCAAAGGACATGATTTCATTATTTTTTATGGCTGCATTGTATTCCATGATATATACGCCTATGGTGTATATGAGTCCTTGCCACATTGCTTGTTCTTGTTGGCTTTGTGACATATCAGATGGTTGTAGGGGCATAGCTTTATTTCTGGGTTTTCTAACCTGTTGTTGTGGTCCATGTGTCTGTCTTTGTACCAATACCATTTCTCTTTTAGTTACTGTAGCCTTGAGATATAGTTTGAAGTCAAGTAGTGTGATACCTCCAGCTTATTTCATTTTCTATATCTGCATAGTATTCCATGGTGTATATGTACCACATTTTCTTTATCTAGTGTATCATTGATGGGCATGTAAGTTGATTCCGTGTCTTTGCTATTGTGAATAGCACTTTAATAAACATACACATGCATGTGTATTAATGGTAGGATGATTTATATTCCTTTGGGTATGTAACCAGTAATAAAATGGCTGTGTCGAATGGTAGTTCTGTTTTAAGTTATTTGAGAAATCTCCAAATTTCTTTCCGCAGTGGCTGAACTAATTTACAATCCCACCAGCAGCATATCAGCATTCCTTTTTCTCCACAACCTCACAAGTATCTGTTATTTTTGACTTTTAATGATAGCCATTTTGTTGGTGGAAGTGTAAATTAGTTCAATCATTGTGGAAGACAGTGTGGTGATTCCCCAAACAGCTAAAGACAGAAATGGATTTGACCCAACAATCCTATTACTGGGTACATACCCAAAGGAATATAAATCATTCTATTATAAAGATTGATGCATTTGTATGTTCATTGCAACACTATTCACAATAGCAAAGAAATGAAATCAGCATAAATGCCCATTAATGATACACTGGATAAAGAAAATGTTGTATATATATCCCATTGAATACTATGGACCCATAAAAAAGAACAAGGTCATGTTCTTTTCAGGGACATAGATGGACTGGGTGGCCATTATCCTTAGCAAACTAACACAGGAAGAGAAAACCAAATACCACGTTTTCACTTATAAGTGGAAGCTAAATGATGAGAACACATGGACACAGAGAGGAGAACAACACATACTGGGGCCTATTGTAAGGTGGTGGGTGGGAGAAGAGAGAGGATCAGGAAAAATATGACTATTTTCCCACTTAATACCTGAGTGATGAAATAATCTGTACAACAAACTCCCATGACACAAGTTTACCTATGTAACAAACCTATACATATGCCCCTAAATTTAAAATAAAATTTTTCAAAAAATTAAAACATTTCAAAAGATGTACAGTTATGTTTCTTTTGACATTTGGTCACCCAGTTTACTTCTACAAGGTCAAATATTGTTACTGATTTTCTGTGTATCATAAAAGGGCTAATTTTAAATATTAAAAAGAAATAATGGCCATCCTGACTGATGTGAGATGGTGTCTCATTCTGGTTTTGATTTGCATTTCCCCAATGATTAGTGATGTTGAGCATTTTTATATGCTTGTTGACCACATGTATGTCTCCTTTTGAGAAGTGTCTATTCGTGTGCTTTGCCCATTTTTTAATAGAGTTGTTTTTTTCTTGTTGATTTGTTTGAGTTTCTTAAAGACTTTAGACATTAGACCTTTGTCAGATGCATGGTTTGCAAATATTTTCTCCTGTTCTATAGGTTGTCTGTTTACCCCATTGGTAGTATCTTCTGCTGTGCAGAGAGCTCTTTAGTTTAATAAGGTCCCACTTATCAATTTTTGATTTTGTCGCAATTGCTTTTGGACTCTTCATCATGAAGCCTTTGCATGGGCCAATGTCCAGAGTATTTCCTATATCTTTTTTTATTTTTATTTTATTTTTTTTTTTTGAGATGGAGTTTCGCTCTTGTTGCCCAGGCTGGAGTGCAATGGCGCGATCTCGGCTCACCGTAACCTCCGCCTCCTGGGTTCAGGCAATTCTCCTGCCTCAGCCTCCTGAGTAGCTGGGATTACAGGCACGCGCCACCATGCCCAGCTGATTTTTTTGTATTTTTAGTAGAGACGGGGTTTCACCATGTTGACCAGGTTCGGCCGGGCGCGGTGGCTCAAACCTGTAATCCCAGCACTTTGGGAGGCCGAGGCGGGTGGATCACGAGGTCAAGAGATCCTATATCTTTTTCTAGGGGCTTTATAGTTTTCAGTTTTACATTTAAGTCTTTAATCCATTTGAATTGATTTTTGTATATTGTGCAAGGAAGGGGTCCAGCACCAATCTTCTGCATATGGTTAGCCAGTTATCTCAGCACAGTTTATTGAATAGGGAGTCCTTTACCAGTTGCTTGTTTTTGTCAACTTTATCAAAGACCAGATGGTTATAGGTGTGCAATTTTATTTCTGGATTCTCTAACCTGTTCTATTGTTCTATATGTCTGTTTTTATACTAGTACCATCTTATTTTAGTTACCGTAGCCTTGTATAGTTTGAAGTTGGGTAGTGTGATGTCTCTGGATTCACTTTTTTTGCTTAGGATTGCTTTGGCTATTCGGGCTCTTTTTTGGTTCCAAATGAATTTTAGAATTCTTCTTTTCTAATTCTGTGAAAAATTTCATTGGTAGTTTAATAAGAATAGCACTGAATCTGTAAATAGCCTTGGGGAATATGGCCATTTTAACAGTATTGATTCTTTCTATCCATGAGCATGGAATGTTTTTTCATTTGGGTCATCTCTGATTTCTTTCAGCAGTGTTTTGTAATTCTTGTTGCAGAGATTTTTTACCTCGCTGGTTAGCTGTATTCCTAGATATCTTGTTCTTGTTGTGGCAGTTTTGAGTGAGATCACATTCTTGATTGGTTCTCAGCTTGTACATTATTGATGTATAAAAATACTGATTTTGTATCCTAAAACTGCTGAAGTTGTTTATAAGATTTAGAAGCCTCTAGGCAGAGACTATGAGGTTTCCTAGGTATAGTATCTACATACTATTCTGGGTATAGCATTTCCAGGTATAGTATAATCTGCGAAGAGAAATAGTTTGACTTCCTCTCTTCCTAACTGGATTGCTTTTATTTCATTCTCTTGCCTGATTGCTCTTGCTAGGACTTTCAGTACTATGGTTGAATAGGAGTGGTGAAAGTGGGCATCCTTGTCTTATTCCAGTTCTTAAAAGGAATGCTTCCAGCTTTTGCCTATTTAGTATGATGATGTTGACTGTGGGTTCATTGCCCATTTTTCTATTAGGGTCTATGAGGAAAGAGAAATCACATAGTAATTGGAATAGGGACAGTTTATTATTAACTACGCCAGGGATTTGAGTAACAAGGTATTGGCTAGTAAGACGTAAAGACATCCTTAAAGAATATAGGAATACCACCTATGGCTATAATAGATCATCCCCTTAAGCCTGTCTCCTCCTTATTTTCTTGCCACAGGGCTGAGATCTAGACCTTTTTAGAACCTAGAGAAGTCGCTGTGATGCTGTGTCTGCAGAATTTGCTGAAAATCTACCCTCCAAATTTGCAGGAGATCCATCCCCTACGGTGCATGGGGAGATATCTTGCCAAAGAGATTCTGCTATGAAACTGCCCCAGGGATATGCTAGGGAACCTAATGGCAACTAGGTGCTGCTGACTGCATGAACTATAAGGACCCTGATACTGGAGATGCCACCTGGAATGCAGGAACCTAGAGCCAGAGCTAAAGCCACCAGTACATACTCTTAAGATCTTGCTGGGAAGAGCCACAGAAACCAGGAAGAAAAGCACCTTCAGCTTGCAATATGTCTTTAGCACACTCTACTGACAAAGTTTAACATGGTGCTACCTGGCAAAGGAAAAATATATTAAAGGTCCACCTCCATTTTCTGTGGAGCAACAGTGAAAGAGGAATTGGAGCTAATGGGTAATAAAGTGATAATTGGCACTGAGAATCACTTTAGTAAACCTGGATTTTACTCTTGTGCATGACTTGAGATAATCTTAAATAGTATTTTTTGTATAGATAAAATTGGAAACAATTTAAAGATCCGTCAATAAAGAAATGATTGAATAAACTATGGTACTTCCATACTGTAGATTACTATGCAGCAGTAATAGAGGCATATCTAGATATATGTACCAATATTGTAAGCTCCCTAAATCATATTGTTGAAGGAAAGTTGACATAAAATTTTAAGCTACAAAACACTACTATATATTACAGTATGTACACACACATGCACACACATATAATGTATTCAGAAATAGGAGTCCTCATAAGATTACTTTATAACAATCATTTTATTAACATCCATTTGCAAACTAATATTTAGTATGTTAAAACACCTCATGTATCTTAACTGTATTAGAAAGGTCTTCATGTAATTTTTTTTGCACTGTTGTAGCTAACCTCTTAGTTATAGATGGCACAGAAATAAAGCTTACCTTAGGCCCAATAATTCAAACCTGAAATTGGTAAAATTGTTTGTAACTTCACATAATAAAAATTTGTGCGTGTATTTTATTGTTCTTTTAGGCAGAGGTTGAAAAGATAATTGCAGTTGCCTGGGACATTTTTCAGCCCCTTCTCTTTGGGCTAATTGGAGCAGAGGTTTCTATTGCATCTCTCAGACCAGAAACTGTAGGTAAGAATTTCAAAGTGTACTTTTGTTAAAATTTACTTTTTTTGGTCATCCTACTTAACAATAAAATCTACTTTTTATATTCAATTGAAATATCTCCAGTAGGTATGTGTCCAGTGGTTCCACTTGTCACAATTATATAAAAGGTTAATTATACTCTAAGTTTTTTAGAGTAGTTGGTTAGAAAACTGGCCAGATGTGGTGGCTCATGCCTGTAATCCCAGCACTTTGGGAGGCTGAGGTGGGCAGATCACCTGAGGTCGGGAGTTCAAGACTAGCCTGACAAATATGGAGAAATCCCATTGCTACTAAAAATACAAAATTAGCTGGGCATGGTGGCACATGCTTGTAATCCCAGCTACTCAGAGGCTAAGGCCAGAGATTTGCTTCAACCTGGGAGGCGGAGGTTGCAGTGAGCAGAGATTGCGCCATTGTACTGCAGCCTGGGCAACAAGAGCAAAACTCCTCTCAAAAAGAAAGAAAGGAAAAAAGAAAGTAATGCTTGTTCATCTAAGACAGTATATTTGACACATTTAATCTTGTTCCTTGTGTATAAAAGTGATACTGCTGACTACTACCCAGAAAATTCAGGCCTTACAATTCTTTTTCCAAGAGTAAGAATATTCATCTAGCCTTGTCCTGAACAACAGCCAGAATTTTAAAGACAACTAGTTAGTTCTATAGTTTGTACTCATGGGATAGAAATCCCTGGTTGTTGATTAATTATTTATTGATATGTTCAAAAGCCATCATCTTAAAACTCTCTTGATTCACAACACTGCACTTAAAAATTAATTTGCCTACATGTACTCATTATTTCCTCCTTTCCGTTCATCACAATATTCTTCCATCCATACTAGGAATCCCATCTCCTGCTACCTCCTTCTGAATCTTACATATGGATTCTTTCCTTTTCCCATACATCTTAAATATCATATCACAATCTTCTTCACTTCAGAATTTAGTCTCCAGTCTCTCTCTTATCATAAAAAAAAAGGTTCTCTTCTGACACATGCTTCAACATGGATGAACCTTGAGAACATTATGCTAAGTGAAATAAGCCAGTCACAAAAAGACTAATCTTGTATGATTCCACTTACATGAGGTATCTAGAGTAGTCAAACTTATAGAGACAAAAAGTAGAATGGAATTTGCCAGGGGCTGGGAGTAGAGGGAAATGGATTGTTGTTGTTTAATGGATATAGAGTTTAAATTTTGCAAGATGAAAAAATTCTGGAGATTGGTTGCATAATAGTATGAATATACTTAATGATACTAACTGTACACATAAAAATGGTTAAGTTGGTGAATGTTATGTGCATTTTACTATAATTAAAATAATTCATATTAAAATAATATGTTAAAATTATATATATAATTTCTCTATTTCACTTCCCCCCATCCCTACCATGCTACCTCTCTTGTCTTTTCAAACTTTTCAAAAGAGGTTACTACATTCCCCTTTTTACTTCAGTTCTCATTTACTTCAGTTCCTCAATACATTTTAGCCCAGCTTCTGCCTATCACACAACCTTTTAAGCTCTTACCAAGGTAATATTGCTAAATCCAGTCTTTGTTTTCCTTTCGCTCTCAGCAGCATTTGCTGTTTTTGACTTTTTAACCCTCCTTTATATCAAGTTCTTAAACTTCATATTTCCCAATGCTGTTTGAGCCTTTCCTTACACAATATGTAGCTTAAACTCTGCCCTTTATCAAAGTTCTTTCCAAAGCCTTTATTTAGACAGCACCACTTGTATGTCCTGTTAAACTTCAAACTCAACTAAAACTTGCTTCTCATCCTCTTCTCAAACTTTCAGTATTTCCTTCTGGAATAAAGGGTATCAACTCTTTATCTTGTTCTTCAGGCTACAGATATTTTTGAATACTTTAAAACCTTGGAGAAATACCTTTCAACAAAGAGCCACAAAACTTTCCCATAAGAAAACCCTATGGCAAATTTACAACAGATCCTCCTTCAATGTCTGATGTTTTACCAGGTCTTTGAATTTGAGAAAAGTATTTATCCTTTCCGAGCTTCTGGTTTTTTCAGCTATAAAATAATAATTTTCCCACAGGTTGTAAGAATTAAGTAAAATAATATATTTAAATCTTAGTACAGCACTTGGCACAGAGTAAACACTCAACAAATGTTACTTAAAAAAAAAAACACCCTAATACTCAAGAGTCACCTTAGCTGTGCCGCTCTTAGGTCTAGTAGCATGCAGCAGCACTAGTCACAGTCCCTTGTTTGGCAAGTGATGATCAACTCATCCTTATCAGCAAAGAGTTCTACAGGACTAAATGGAGTAGCTGTGTATGTTAACTAGGTATAATTGGGACCAGTGTGCACATCAATATGGTGAAACAGTTGGAGACTGCCAGTGTCTATTCTGTTTGGTCATGGCCAGCCAGCTCTGATTGGCAAATTCCCTCCGTACCAGCTCATAAATGTTTTGGATATCATTTCTGGTCTTATATCCTGTAAAGAATTCTTGACTTTGTGGGTGAAAATATTATTTTCCCTCTTTTATGTCCTCAGTTTGTCTATACCTCACTTACTGTATAGCCTATGAATTAGTTGTTTATGTTTCTGTCTTCCTCTGATTTTGAGGCAAAGTCTATACATTATTCATTTATGAGTACCCAGTACTTAAAGCTTATTACTTATCATGTAATCATCATTTAATAAATTCTTCTTACACACATGGAAAAGTGTGGTTCTTGCTGTAAAGCATAAGACATATATAACATTCAAGTCTTCTGTATAAAGATTCAAATATGCTAATTTCTGATTTTAAGCTAGGGAAACACCTTATTTTAAACAAATAGCCTGATTGATCCATAATATTGTTTTGATATATTCTGCCTAAACATTTGTATTTGTACTTTTTTAATGTTTTAAAAATTATTGATGGTTATTTTGAATTAGTAACCATGAGATGCAGTTTCTCTCCTATTATTTCTAAAAATTGAACATTTCTTACAGGCCTTTGTGTTGCCACCGTAGGCATTGCAGTGTTAATACGAATTTTGACTACCTTTCTGATGGTGTGTTTTGCTGGTTTTAACTTAAAGGAAAAGATATTTATATCTTTTGCATGGCTTCCAAAGGCCACAGTTCAGGTATGATGGCTAGGATGGCTTAGCATTTTAACTGCTATTTCTGTATGATACCTTTAAATATTAAATAAGAATGCTTATTTAAATTTAGCAGAAATAGTTGAAGTTGGATTTATGCAAAGAGTTTATCCTAATCTATTATTTAAAAGCTGTATTTTTGGTATATTCATTCTTTAAATGTGATCGCTTGTTAAATTTCCTTAGATAACCAGAGCACAAGTAAAAATCCAGTAAATCCCTATTCTAATAGAAAGCAGTAGTAGCTGGAGAGAAGAGTTTGAATTTCTTCAGTCAACCCTCTCCAAGTCACCCAAGGAAAGAGTTCGTATTAATACTTATTAACTCTTCATGTTAATAAGAGAGTAAAATAGAAATAGCATGACTCACCTTAATATTTGGTGATACTTTAATGTTAATATGATTGATGATCAGTTGAGCTTGACCAGAGTGTTTATATATAATGGAGAAAAGATTTATTGAAAAAAAAAAAACTCAGAAAGAGCTTTATTGATTTCCTAGATTATTAGTTGTTATTAATTATTTAAAATTCACTGAACCTCCTGGAAAATGTCTCAATCACTTGACTGAAAATGTGTGCATTCTAATAAACGTGTGATAAATAAAGCAATTATAGATAGGTGCTTGAATTTGTTGACCATGCATTTGTTTGAAAACCTATGATTGCTAATTAAATTTGAACTGTATAGATTATGATTTGTTGCAAATGTGATGTATCTTCAGTTGTACTGTATATTTTCAGACTGATTACATTAAACAACATTTAACTGTTTTGTCCCAGATTATTATATAAATAAATATTCAAATTTCTAAGGAATTTTGAGGAATTAAAATCAAGTGTTTTTCATTTGGTAGGCTTTAGGGGATGTGTATGCTCAGTAATTATATTCCAGATTTCAGTTATGCTCTATTCATTTGGGCATTACTCCAGAGTTGTTTTTTCCCCAATTTGATTTTCAAAAATGTCTGAAACATAATGGCTAAGAGTTCTATAAAAAGATCTCTGGACAACATTGTGACCAGCCAAACTTCAGGATTTCTATTACAGAAGGGAAAGGGGCATTTTGTGAGCAACTAGTAGTTTCTGCCATTGTGTTGGATGTACACTATTTTCTTTTTCATTGTCTTGGAGGCTAACACTGTTGTGCTCTGTGGAATAAGGTATAACCAGATTAATTACATTTTTCCCTTCTGCACTGATAACATTGCATTTTGCCTCTAAAAGAAACTGAAAGTTTTCATAATATTTTCCAGTAGATACATTCTAAATAAAACATTTCACCAACTTGTGAGGCAAAGAGTTGACCAAATACCTAATAAGATCAACTTCAGGTTGTCAAGGTGTCCACTATTTTCATGTTTCATGATGTTTGACAATGCGTTTAAGCTCTAAAGCAGTATATATTTATTTAAAATTTAACAGTTTTCAATAGATATCACTGCATGTTCTTCATCTTATTTTTTAATTCCAAATTCCTAAAGATAAAAGGAGATGACCAGTAATTTTCATCTTTATTCAGGAAAAATTTAATACATAGAACTTCACATTATATTTAATTAATATTGTGAGTCTGGATTTGCTTTGTGTTTTGAAATGTATTTTCTTGATGTTTTTGTAACCCTACCTTATACAGATAGGTACAAATGAGTCATTAGTATGTCCCCATGCAAGGGCAGAAAGAGTTTTTAGATCATCAGAACCAGCCAGTCTGAGCACAGTCACTCACACCTGTAATCCCAGCACTTTGGGATGCTAAGAAGGGAGGATCACTTGAGGCCAGCAGTTCAAGACCAATCTGGGCGACACACAAGGGTCTCTAAAAAAGTAAAACAAAACAAAACCAAAAAGAAGACTAAAACAACTTTCTTAGTTGAGCAAAAGAACAATCAATTTGTTTTTGCAAACAATAAAAAAATTCACTTTTTAAATATGTGCTTGTCTTATAATGATTCCATCTTTATCCTTAAACTTTTATAGGCTGCAATAGGATCTGTGGCTTTGGACACAGCAAGGTCACATGGAGAGAAACAATTAGAAGACTATGGAATGGACGTGTTGACAGTGGCATTTTTGTCCATCCTCATCACAGCCCCAATTGGAAGTCTCCTTATTGGTTTACTAGGCCCCAGGCTTCTCCAGAAAGTTGAACATCAAAATAATGATGAAGAAGTTCAAGGAGAGACTTCTGTGCAAGTTTAAAGGTGAAAAGAATGCCGAACATAATGGTTAAAAAGCTGCTACTTTTTTCAAGATGTATATTGAAAAATGTAATGTTTAAACTTAAAATGTAATAGAACCAAGTGTAGCCATTTCTTTAAACAGCATTTTTAGCCCTTACTCTTTCCATGTGGGTGGTAATGGTCTACGTCACCAACCCCAATCTCTCTACCTTTTTTTTTCAAACAGCCCTTTATTAACCATTTTAATTTGAATAAGGACATATCTACTTTAATGTACTACCACAGTTTACAGGTAACATGGGAAACATCAGTTTCAGTATCCTTTTCAGCTGGGATTACTCTTTTAACTTTCACAGTTTCATGATTCATTTTTGCTCAGGCTCTGATGCCTTGAATTGGTTTTGGGTCTTCTTATTTTATTTTGTTTTTGTTGTTAAACATCATAATGCCATCTCTCATGAATTTCTACCCTCATTTTCCCTAATAATCTGCCTCTTCTTTCTACCTCCTTCAGTACCTTTCTCTGAATTACTGTAACTGATTGGTCCCACCAAAATTGTAAAGTACATGAAGTATCTTCATCGGTTCATCCTCTTGCCTCCTCTAGATGTCAAAAAACTTTATCCTGACCCCTAGCTGACCACCCAGGTTCTTTTATTTCAGTGGCCTGTGTGACTCGACCTTCCCCAAGGAGTGCCCTAATCCGGCCCTTTTTCAAATTTGTTTCTTATGACCCATATCTTTAGGTTCTTCCCATTTCTAGGCAGGAGATAGATAAGTCTCAAATCTATGCCAGACTCATAAATATTATATTAGGGTAATGTGCTACAATGAAGAAAGGAAAAATACAGTGCCTAAAAGAAAATAGAATTCTGTTTCCCTCTAATGAAACTGGCTGGTTAGTTGATTGATACTAACAGGGTTACTCTGCTCATGGCTCATGAGGTCTGCTCAGAGTCCCATGTCTTTCTGTCCTGAAGCTCTGCCAGCTTAGGACATGGCTTAACCTATTTATGCCAGAGCTTGCAAATTTTTTTGTGTGAAAAATCAGACCTTGGCAATAACCTTGAGCAGTAGGATATAAATAACTCCCACAAGCATAGCATTCCAATAATGGAACACTAGGCATAAATGGGTTAAAAATGAATCTCTACCATGTCTCCATTCTAGCTCTCAAAGAAGGAAAATGCAAGTAAAGCAGTTTATTTTTGAGGAAGTGATATGGAAGTTGGACATGTCTTTTCTCCTGCACTTATTGGTGATGATCACATTAAGCTGTGAAGCAGCTAAGTGTTGTCTCTAGCTAAGCATTCATACTCCTAGGAGTAACAAAACGTAAGATTTTGGGGGCCAGAGTTTCCACTGTGTTGTCTGTTACCATCACTTAGTAGCATATTCTTACATGTAAACAAAAGCTTTTGAAAGACATTGCCTTAAACCAAAAGAATGACTTATATGGCAGGAATTTCAGAAATTGTTACATGCCAGCAGAGAAAATATAAGAAGAAAGGCTTCTCTGCATCATATTTTGTCCTACTTTGTAACAGGCCGTTTCTGCTTTTGTGTATCACTCGTAAGTTACTCTCTTCACTCTAGGTCATCTTCTGTGTAGTTGCTAAAATAATCACATTCACATAAAGTTTACAGTTTTTACCATATTATCTGTGTACCTGAAGTATTTATTATATACTTGTCATATCCTATCTAAACTTCTTGACCTAGAATTCAAAGTTCATTTTAATCTTGAGGTAGACATTAAATATATATTAGATGAATGAATTATGAATGTCCTAATCCCAACAAGCTGATCTGCATAAATAAAGCCTGTCCATTCCTCTCTTCATTAGACTTCTGTTCAAGCTTTATCCACCATGCCTTTCACCTCTGTTCAAAACTAGTTTAATATTCACCTCTTCTAAATGACCTTCAATTTTATGTCCACCTGATTTTGGTTACCCTATGGTGCTGTACTCCTTTAGTGTTTATGCTCTTAATTTGGACTTGATTAATTTTTACCAAAGGTCAGATAAGTATTTTGAACCGAACTTCATTGGTCAGGTACACTTTACTGGAGGCACCATAAACTTAATAATCATCTGGTCCTCTATTTTTGCAGGCTCTGTAAGTAGATGCATTCAAAAAATACTTACTGAAAGCTTTTGAGATCCAGGCACATCATCAAGAATAATATTGTTCCTGTCCTTAAAAATTTAACAGTCCAGTAGAGAAGACAGACAATTAAACAGGAGAATACAAAACAATATGATAAGTGCTATTATACAGTTTCTACAGGGGTTCCAGGGAACTCATAGCAGAAGCACTCAATCAATCCAAGGCTGGTGGAGTTTAGGCACAGCTTCCCAGAGAAATTAGGACATTGGCTGAGGGCTGATTAGGACTTACCCAGCAAAAGGGATGTGAGGCTAAAAGGTGTTACACTTCATGCTGTTTCCCAGGTCTTCAGTGGCATTTTCTCCAAGTAACAAGCTTGGAATACTTATTAACTTATACAAAATACAGTTAGTATAACTAAATCAGAATGCTATTGAAAACATTTAGAGCCCCAGGGAAAATTAGAAATGGAAGTCCACAGAGTATAGAATTGATTGAAGGGCAACTCAAGCCATTGCCAATATCTGTTTCATTTTACAGGGCATGCAGCAAGTTCTTTTCTATCTCTAAGAGGGCAGCCACTGTCTAAATCTCTGTGAGTGCCCAGTGCTGGCCTTTTGACTTCCTCTATTGAATCTCTGAAATTTGTGCCTATTCCTGGAAGCTCTTTGTAGGAATGTATTAAGTGCTATAAGACTATGTTGCTATTATATATCATGGAGATGGTGCAGTCAAGAATGACAGAAGCTGACCATTCAGCAGGGCTCACCATGTGAAGGCCGGGGTTTGTCACCACATTGAAAGCCACATGTCTTTACTTCGTTGGTGAAATTAGAGTTAACCTCATAGAGTACTGACCAACCAAACCTAGCCACACTTAAACCACAGATAGAAACAATTACTATAACCTTTGGACCCCTTATACATACTTCTGTCAGAGCACATATAACACTTTTTTTCCATTTATTTACGTGTTTGTCTCTTATTAAATCAGTCCCTATGGGTAGGAACCTTGTCTTAAGTATCTTTGAACAACAGCATTTTTCACAGGGCATAGAGCATAGTAGACATTTAATAAACATTTACTGACTAAATTTGAGAGGAATGGAATTCTCTCTCAATATCAGAAAACTACTTGCCACACAGCAGTTCAGGTCTTAGTCCGCTTAGTCTGTCTTAATCAGCTTGGGCTGCTATAACAAAATACCATACACTGGGTAGCTTACACAACAGAAACATATTTCCATTAAAGGCTGGAATTTCAAGGTCAGGATGCCAGCATTGTTGGGCTCTCATGAAGTCTCTCTTCCTGGCTTGCAAGCTCTCTGGTGTCTCTTCTTATAAAGGCACTCTAATCACATTATGAAGGTCCTACCCTCATGAGACTGAGGCATGAGAATTGCTTGAACCCAGGAGGCAGAGGCTGCAGTGAGCTGAGATCACTCCACTGCACTCCAGCCTGGCAAATCCCCATATCCAAATACATCACATTGGAGGTTAGGGCTTCAACATATGAATTTGTGGGGAAGGACATAATTCAGTCCCTGACAGAAGTGTCATATTTCATTTTTCTCTTTGGTATTAACTTCGAATCACCTTGATTGACCTTGATGTCCTCAAAATTACCTCAGGTGTATATTTGCAAATGATCTCATCTACTACATTCTTTAAAAATAGTATTGATTACTTTTTCTGATTATAAAATAACACATTTTCATTGCAGAAAATTTAGAACACAGAAAAATACAAAGAAGAAAACTGAAACTACTTTAATATAAACATCTATTTTGTTTTGATTCTTGTAAATTGGACTGCAGTTTTGGGGGATGTATTATTTTCAGAAAGATATATCATGTACTGAATTCATTGGGTGAAAGGTCTACTTCATGTTTGACTTTTATGATGCTATGTAGATTGAAGAATTTTGTTGTACATAATGAATGCTAAGCCTTAAAAAAAGCATATGTTTATATTCAATACTCATTTTGTAGTGAATAAAACACAAATCCCTGCCTTCATGGAGCTTGTTTTAAAATCCATTTACTCCCTCACTCAGAATATATTATAACACGCCTACTATGTGCCAGGTCCTGTACCACCTACTAGGGAATACAGTGATGAACAAGATATTTAAAGGATCGATTTTCAATAGAATTTGAATTCTCGGGGAAAATTGACACTGTGAGCAACACAAATATGAATAAGACATGATACTTGCCTTTAAGAACCTTAGAAGGAAATAAGATATGTACAAATAGCTATATTGCAAGTGAATAATTCAAAAGTGTTCTTAGTGTAGAAGTTGAAGAAATCTTAGAGGAGCTGATACTTGAACTAGACCTTCAATAGTGGAGAGGATCTGGATGGATGGGGTAATATTAGGGAGTAAGGTGAAGACAGAAACAACTAGGTGGGAGGCTGGCATATTAGCAAAGTTTTGAAAACAGTAAAGCCTGGAGCATAGAAAGTGATTCGCACTTGAGACTGATGAAGAGAATTAGAAAAGAAAGTTGGCACTAAAATCATACTAAATAGATCATTGTCCAAATTTTTATGTTTGTTGAAGTACTTTCAGAAGTATGAAACTATTTATGTAGAAAGTTTTAAAACTTTTCTGTATCATGTCAAATTTAGTTTTAAAAAATTGCTGTCAGTTAAGATTCTCCTTACTCCTCAAAAGCTTTTGCTTTCTATGACATTGTTGGAAATACAATAAATTTAGTTATTTTTAAAAGACAATTTTTATGAGAAACGTTATCAGATGATTGTTTAAACGTTTTTTATTGGTAAATTTTCATTATCTTGTCTCTCAATAAACCACAGTATTTTTTAAGGTCTCAGAACATTATATTTTTATATGAATCTTTTATGTAGCTTTCTGTAACAGGTGGGAATTGCTTCATGGCATTTGGGGAGCATGTAATGTATTTACAGTTGACTGACACAAATCCAGCCTGAGCCCTCTGACCTTGTAAGAATTCCAAAGCTTCATTTGTTGATGTGCCCTACATCTTTCTTCTGTGGGCCCTAAAGCACTTATCTCTCCAGGAGCCCATTCCTTTTAGAGAATAAGAGTAGTGCCCTGGAGGCAAACAGACTCCTAGCAAAGGTCTTCCTTCCCAGCTCTACCATCGGTCCCTCCTCCCAGTATCTTTAGGGATCTACCTGCCTTTCCTGTGAATGCAAAACATTCCCTTAACCCTATAATCACGAAACACTGTCCACTTGCCTGAAATAAGGAAGAAAATAACTTTAAATCCTTGCTGAGATGTCTATATGACGTCGAAGGAAGGTGTTAAAAACAATAAAAAGGGCCAGGCTGTGGTGGCTCACGCTTGTAATCCCAGCACTGTGGGAAGCCAAGGCGGGCAGATCATTTGAGTCCAGGAGTTGGAGGCCGACTGGGCAACAGGGTGAAACTCCTCTCTACTAAAAATACAAAAATTAGCTGGGGGTGGTGGCGCCTGCCTGTAGTCCCAGTTACTCGGGAGGCAGGCAGGAAGATCGCTTGAACCCGGGAGGCAGAGGCTGTAGTGAGTCGAGATAGCACCACTACACTCCAGCTGGGGTAAACAAAGCGAGACCCTGTCTCAACAACGACAAAAACAAAACCAATGAAAAGATAATTTCGTATTTAAATTACCCAAGAAAGAGCTGTAATTTGAATCAGATCTTAAATCATGACTAAGAAAAAGAACACTCAGAGGAATTAACTTTAGAAAACGCACTGAGGCAAAAAGGAATACAGTGTTCACGAGTAAACATTGTTTTGAATGTCA